AGAAAAAGTAACAGTGAGAACAGAATTAAAAATAAAACAAAATGATTATTGATCTCTAATGAATCGAGACCAGTTTATTCTATTATACATTAGTGTCCATTACCATATCGTATACATGGAACAAATGAATGATTATATTTACGTAGACGTTATTTGTTATGATAAAAAATTGTGAAAGTTAATTAATAATAGTTGATGAACAAGAAACAAGTTCTTTTACCAAAATAAATATAGAATAAAAGAAAATAATAATAATAATAATTAACAATAAGAAGAGACTCTTGTCCTTCCCTGCTTGACAAGAACCAAATCTAGAATTGCTTATTCTGCTGTTGAAACTGCTTTAAAAGAATTCGTTGTTAAACTAAAGCAAACAAAATACACATTCTCAGGATCATAATCATCGTCAATAAACATCATATGTCAAAGATAATCATCTTTCACATGAAATCCATCAAAAGTTATAACAACGGATTTTATATAATCTCATTATTGATGAAGTAAATATTGGAAGAATATGTAGTGATTCCAAACTTCTTGTACGTAATGTGTAATTCCTTGTTGATTTATGTCATTCATATATCTATCCTGATTCAAAAATTGTTATTATTTTATCACAATATTATTTATCAAAACATAAATAGCATGTTTGTCTGATTTAATTCGTCAAAAAATGCTTTATAGAGTATTTCAACGAAAAATTGACGTTAAAAATAAAAGATTTCCTTATGATAAATTAGTTACTGATATGTCTATAGTACTTAATGATCTTATTCATTATATTGTTTTCTTAGAGATAAATTAGGCGCACTATATCCAGTTTTTGAAGACGGTTTATCTCTTGATCTTTGGCTGTCCGTGTGAATTATTCAAATGGTCTTATCTTATTTATTTATAAATCAAATTTAATCTAAGTGATAAAATATTTTGTTTTTACATTAACCATTTTGGAGAAAAATTTTCTTGTTTTTTTCTCTCTCAGTAGAGTCTCATTTATTAAGAAAATGAAATAACTTTTATGCTATTCTAAGTAGAGAGAAATATGTCGTTTCTTCAACATAGTAAGTATCCATGAATTTCTGAAGAATACAGATTTTAAACAAGATTACATAATGTAGCTGATTTTATTCACAATCGATCAATCTGTATTTATCCTCCGAAAAAGTTAGAATAGGGAACGAAGATAATTGTATGTATCTCTTTTTTCCGAACAATCTCACGATTGAATTTATGAGAAATATCTTCGCAAAAACTTGTTAATCTCAACTGTACTGTGTCGCTCATACAGTTGAGAACTTTTGTATACATTTTTTTCTTCTGACGCATTCCTTGACTCTCTTTAATGTATGATGACGCTCATGCAATCTTCACTTTTTCATATTTCTCATTATGATCTCTCATTGTCTGCAGTACAATGCACAAGAGAGGTGAACAGCATCCAACATTGACGGATAAGGACACAGATATATAATATAAGTGTAATTATGTCTTTTAATATATATGTAGGAGAGTGTGTCAAATACATCACATCATGTCGGCAATGTTCGAAGACAATACTAGCAATATAAGATCAGTGTGATATCAGACTTGTTTCTAGAAAGACATTATAACTGAAATGATGCGATTACAAATGGAAATATAAATTGAAACTCTGAGTAAATTTTCAGATGTTGAAATTATACATTGAGTGCGAAAGTCAATAAAACATTAATATTCGATTGAAAAGATGTCCATAGATCCACAAAAGCTAAATTCATTATTACAAGTATCATGTAATATTAAATAGTACAGAGTGAATTGTCCATAAAGAGGGAAAAGGAACATTTCGCACTAACTTTTTATTACGATCTCCAGTAACATATGTTCATTACGATCACTTGATATAAGAAAAAAGACAGGGTGTTCGGAATGCCAAAAAACAATCAAAAATTTAAAACAGCAGGAAGTTCGTGGATGTGTAGAGTGGATGTGGGTTAACGCACTTTCCGTATTCACACCCATCCCACCACATCCACACCCCCACACCACACCAACCCACATCCACACACCCTCGAAGTAGATCCTACGTGGTTAACTCAATATCAGTCATGCATTTTGTACAACAATGCAAATCAAGATATCTGTTGTCTTCAAAATAAAAAACATAATTTTATTGAATTTAGCGTAGCACATGAATTTGTTTCATTACCAGCAGGTCTTAAAGATGAAGGATAATAAAATTGTTTTCATAATTTTCTCTTTAAATGTGATCGATTTCTTCATTTCCTACGGCAACAAGAACAAATGATTCAAAGTGATCCATTTCAGATTATGCTCGAACGATATTTCGAAGAATACGAACAAATTTTTCGGAATTCTAATATTAATTTGAATATGAATAGACCAATACCGGAAGACAATAGTCAAATAGTATTTGAATCAAATGAAAGACTTTCCCTTACTCAAGTCTATCAAAAAAATCAATTAATTAATATCAATAACAAAAGTAATAGGCAAAAATGTTGGTACGAGAAATATTATTGAATCTGCATGGATATAAAATTACGATAAAGGAATAATGTATGAGCATGCAAAAGAAATATTACTCAAGAAAATTCAAAAAACCATTTTTCCGACAGATGAGATGTATAATCTTATTAAAATTTCACCAACAGCTTCATTGCGATCAGTCAACTATACAAATTTAATGGAATTCTATGACCCTGAATAGCAAAAAGTTGATTGATTTCACAAAAACATTAAATATTCTCGATATGCTGTTGATCATTATTATACAGTTTGATATAATGATGAAAGGAAGTATGATGATACTTTGAAACATATTAGCACAGTAAACTTTGCAAAATGTTTTTTTTTTTTATAAAAGTAATTTGAATTTTACGAAAACAGGTGAATGCATTTGTCACATTTTAAGTATTAGATTGATGCACATCGACAGAATTGGTAGTTAGTATTATTCTTTGTTCTATTTTTGATATAAATAATTCATTTCGCTGTTAATCTTAAAGTTCAAGAATTACATATTTTTAACTTCTTCAATAGTCGAATGACATAGAGCCCTATAGAAAAAATTATAGAACGATTTAGTTAATTAGATTTCAGAATATTTTTACTCAATTTCCTTTTGTTTTTCTGCAATGAAACCACAGAGATAAGTCATGCGTATATCCATAACCATCTTAAAATTTAATAAAATTACTTCATTCACAACTTTAATATAGAGTTTGTTATCGTATCATTGAGATACATTGAAAGTTATTAGAAATAAAGATATTTATCTGATATAATATTCATCACTTCTGAATATATTTGCATCTAGTCCGAATTTAAAACAATAATTGATAGTGTGACTGAACATATTCTAAAAGATCTTTTGATAATTGCATTTCATTCTTATTGTAGAAATATGGCCATACTGCTGATTATAGGCGTAAGATATTACATATTTGAACCATGTTCCAAAGAAGAAACATCGATTACGCTTGAATCTTGATCTTAGGTCTAGTCAAAAGGAAGTTAATGCATATTTTCTTTAACCAATCGAATCTTTATTCACATCATATTCCCGTCGACATTTCGATGTTTTATTTGATAATTTCATGATTTTGACCCAGATTCCAAACGTTGATGAATATATTTGCAACATGAAGGAGAGAATGAGTTTTACAGTACTAACTCTCACAGTTGGTTTCCAGAAATTGCCAAAAGCCATATCATACATTCAAGTATCATTTTAAACAAAACTAGAGCAGGTTTGTTAAAGATGAAACTTAAGTATATGACATGACTTTTGGCAATTCATGAAAGTTTAATAACAAGTTTCAGGCATTATCTTTTAATTAAATAAGTTATAATTTGACGGTGCGTAAAGTCTAAGGATAAAAATTTGTCGACATTTCGAGTTTAGAATTCGTAGATCTTCCACTGAAGTGTGATAATGTTCTAACTGCTCCGTCTTTGTAACAAAAAGTTAATTATTCATTGCCGAAAATGTGACTTTGTAAACATACTTAATTAGTGGATTTATAATTTAATCGATACATATCTGAGCATTGCTAAAAGTTATGTTTTTATTGAACTTTCGTCAATTGTCAAAAGTCAACTGTGAAATTCGTGTTTCCCGTCTTGAATGCTTTATTACATTCTTTATCTTTTCTGTAGTAGATTGACGTCATTTGAATTTAATTAATTTTCTTTCTATAAAAAGAAAGTGTTCTTTTAAATAAAATATCAGAGAAATTGTAACTAAAGAAAATCATTCAGATTAACTTGCTTCATCTTTGATTGTTGCTGACACTTTATAAATACATTCATTGCAAATGCCAAATCGTACTAATTGTGGTACTACTGATTATGAAATATATTGGTGTAATGTTGTTTTTCTTCTAAATCAGAATATTTCAAGGTATGGTATGAGTCTTATTTGGCTTATGGGAAATGTTGGATCAACTATCAATTGTTTTATCTTCTCTCAACCAAAGCTTCGCAAAAATCCATGTGTCAAGTATTTTCTAGCTTCCAGTGCTTCACAATTCATGACTTTCAATTTTGTTCTTGTTACAAGAATACTTCGAAACGGTTTCAATATTAATGCAATTAATACTTTCCTTTGGTTTTGTAAAATTCGCAATTATTTTTTCTATCTTTTTGTTGCTGTTCCACGTTATTATATTATTTTAGCATCGATCGACCGTTATTTTGCGAGTTGTTCTGATATTTATTGGCGTCGATGGAGTTCATCAAAGACTGCAATGCGATTAATTATTGGTAGTTTTATATTTTGGTGTTTGATCTACATTCAAGTTCTTGTCGTCTATGAAATTCAAAATGGTACGTGCTCATATAGGTATGGTGTTTATGGGATGTTTTTCAGTATTTATCTATCGATTGAAAGTGGGATATTACCACCATTGATTATGGTTATTTTTGGATATATCACAATAAAAAATATTCGACAAAGCAAACGAAAAACAAGACCACTAGCAGTAGTTAATACTGTTCGACCTGTAGAATTTACTGGAATGTCAGGAAAAGATTTACAATATTCTAAAATGTTATTTAGTCAAATATTACTTTGGACGATTTTGAACATAATTAATCCTTGTGTTCTTCTTTATCAAACAATGACAATAAATAAAACGAAATCATCTTTCCGCGTAACAATTGAAACATTTATTAATAATATGAGTTATATGTTTATTCATCTAGAGTTCTCTTTAACATTTTTTATTTATACTTTATCGTCACCATTTTTCAGACGTGAATTCATACAATTAATTCAAAAGAAAATATTACGTCGTTTAGTATCAAATGCGATTATGAGCAATAACACATAATTCAAGGAATTTTTTCAATAACTACAACAATCTTTTGAAGGTAAAACTAACATAGATGTTAAACACAATTTATTGTATTTTCATTTTGTTTTCTGCATTATTATGTCATTTCTTTTTCATATATTTNTTATGCCAAAACAGGATTTTAAAAAATGTTTATATAACCAGTTTTGTTGAGCTCGTCAAGATCTATCGAACCATGTAAAAACATTTTAAAAATGCTACTCATTTTTTGCAAACTCGGATCTTACGAAAACTACTAAAACTCATAATAGTTATATCGTTTTGTATTTTTTTTACACAATTTTTCACTTAGTATTGAAGTTTGTTTTTTGTTTCTGTACTTCATATTCAAGAATCCTTCATTTCAAACATGTGTATACATATAGTACTCGAGCTGTACTATCTGAAGAAAAAAAGAAAATTGAATCTATGTCGTATAGTTTTGAAACGCGAGCCAAAATAAAAAAGTGGTACAATACTTTTGAGACGAACAGTATAACTCTCTTGTAAACAAATCATTCTTATTTATAGTAATTATCGTTATAGATCAGATTATTTCAGAGGCAAGTAAACAATAACAGAATTATAAAGCACATTTGATATCAGCAGTCAATTGTTCTTTATATAAAATATTGACTTATGTTCAAAAATCTGAAATTTTCTTTTGCAAATCTGCATACTACTAAATATATCTTTTCGAATCATAATATTAGAAGTATATATATAATCTTTAAATCGAATATATTTAAGATTCTTTTTGTTAAACATAATAATATAAATCTTACATGTACATTTCGTATAAAAATAATATAAAATTCTTTTATCAGTCATATTAATGGTAGATTGTCTAAAGGACATTGTACAGAAAATTCTTTTAAATATGTTTCAATACAATGTATATGAAATATATGTGTACATGGTAATGATTTAATTTTTTGTCCAAGATTATATGTTTCCATACATATTGTACATTGATCATTTAAATGTATTTCATTAACATTCAATGTTGGAAATTTATCTAGAATATGTGTATCAACAGTTTTACGTTTTACACGTTCATCAAGTCGTAATAACATTTCATAATCATTTGGAGAACTAAATAGAAAGAAGAAAATAATAAATAAAAAAATATTTTTTGTTTTTAATAATAATTACAGATCACGATTTTGCATGTCAAGAAGAAAAGCAATCATAGCATCATCAAAAGTTGGATCATCTAGAATATTATTTTCATTAATTGTATATGCTCGAAATTGATTTGAAACTTGAGACGTATTATTAGTATTTTTTTGTTTTTGATTATTAGAAACAATTAGATGATGAGAATTTTTATCAGCCATAGATCGTAAAGTTTCATAGGAATGTAATGGAATTGATGGACTTGAAGGTAGATAATTTCGACTTGGTTCATCAAGTACAACACGTTTAAATAATCGATGATGTATATATAATTGTTTATTATGTGATTTAATTTTAATATTTTTAGCATGTTTTGTTTTTATCTGACAATGTGCATTAATTTTTTTATTCGAACGTTTTGAACGTTGATAATTTTTTTGTTCAATATGTTCAACTACATATAATTGTTTTCGATTAAGATGATTATTAAGAAATATTTCATTATTATTATCATCATGATAAAAATATTCTAAATCATTATCACTATCATCATCTGGACAACTAAATTGATCAAAATAATCTGAATTATTTTCTTCTTCAAAAAGATTTTCTTCAGAACTAAATAATAAAAATAGACAAAAAAATAAATAAATAAATAAACGAAATAATTTTAAACCTACATATTATTCTCTATACTAATTATTGATGCTGAAGGTGATACAATAACATATTCATCAAGACTAGTTTCTTGATCACTACTATTACTATTTGATCGATAATTATGTGAATTAATATCTTCCTTTGTACAATCCATAGCACCTGATGATAAATAAATAGGAAGTAATTCTACATTGCTATGCATCTGTATAGATTGGCTAGACTATTATAAAAAATATAGGCATATATTAAAGAAAGAAGACTTTTATTAAGAGAAATTATGAAAGAATCTTGCATCATTTCGATTTATTATGAAATAACATTTGTCATCGACATGTATCTGATGATGGTTGGATAGAACAGGGAAAAAAAGGTATACTAACATTGATAAGTGAGATGACGCACTTGGTATGTTTTGTTTTTTTCTTTTTTTTACTAAATACATTTTCATTTCGGTTGTTTTTTTCCATCGTTTTTCACTTTACAAGCAAAAAAAAACGCACACACATTTTTCTTTTTGTACATTCAAAGAAGCATATCATATGGAACGAAAGGATAATGGAAAATAAAGAAAAAAGAACAAAACAAAACGAAAACAAGCGAGAATTTATTACAAACACAAAACTATTTCAAGTGTTTCTGTAGGCTACAAAAACAGTAGAACAAAAAAACAAATTTACATAAAATAAGTATGAGTCGTTTATGTAAATAAGAATCTTCACCATGAGTTCATGATTTAAAGAGATTTAATATCCCTCCCAAACACAGAAAAAAAAAATGATTCACTATCATAAAACAAAAAGATCACCGGTGAGATAACTTAACAAAATAATCAGATTATGGTGTATAAGAAGTTGTCGTCGGAATAGCTAAGTGTTGAGCAAGTAAAGGATTTGTATTACAATAATATGGTGCTGGTGTTCGATGATGATAATGTGTTCGATAAGATGGATAAGGTGGACGAATGAAATGTTGTTGTGATTTTAGTTGTGGTTGTAAATGATGATTATTAACATCATAATCCATTTCAAATTCATCTTTATCAAAACTATGTAATCCTTCTGATGATGATGATGATGACGAAGATTTAGTTTGTATACTCGGTGGTATAAAAAGATTTTGTTGATGTTCTTCTCGAATAATATGAAGTACAGTTGAATTTGTTGGAGATGGAACAGCTAAAAAAAAAGAACAGAAATTTAAAAAAAATAAATAAATTTAAAAACAAAAATTTCTACCAGATCCTCGTCGAATTATTATTGGTGATTCATTATTATTATTAATCGAATACTAAAATAAATTAACAAATTTTTATTTAATCTATTATTTTTGTTATTCTAATATATATATACAGTGGCTCCCAAAATTGTTCAACCAGCTTTATTTTCAATTTTTTTCCGCTATCTTAACCGCTAGGAAGTCTCCAAATATTGATTCCAGTAGAGAAAATGGTTTCCAATAAGAACATAAGAAAATAGAAATTATAATCAGATTCCCAAGGACTGGGTCTCCAGAAAACCAAAACCCTCGTTTTTCAGCA